AGCAGCCGACTCATCCCGGGGCCTGCAGTCTGGCCCTCCAACGGTCTGAGGGACAGTGAACTGGCCCCCTGTTTAAAAAGTTTGAGGACCCCTGCCTTAGAATGTAAGCTCCTTGTAAGAAAGGAAACATGTTTCTGCCTTCCCATACCTGTCACTTAGGTGATACTCAATAAAGGTTCACCTGAAGTTAAATACTGGCCTATTCAACTTTACCATTATTCAAAGCCTAGTTAAAACATCTCCCCTTTCTGAGCTCAAAGGTAGACTTAAATCACACTGTAATCCTGCACTGATACTTCTCAGGATCTGTATCAGGATTCCCACCTGAGTCAACGTGTGCACACAGAATGAGGAGCTTCAGATTATAACTTTCAAACTCTTGTCACAGTTTGTGAACTCGCTCTTGTTTTTCATAGGTTCTATCTTGTATCCTCTGATGGGGATCCCAAACCGTGTGAAGCTCCCTCCACTCCTCTCCTGCCCACACTCACATACTTTATCTACACTGCACCCATCTTCATTGGCTTGTCTTCATTCCTAGAGGAAGCAGCCATGACCCTAATGTTTACCCACTCTCCCCTTAAAAACCTCCCTTTCTTCTCAGGGACTCAGCGCCAGTAAGTATTTTACTCCTTCTAGCTACCATGCCTTCTCATTCTCTAAAACAGGACCAACATCCTATCTCTACTTTACTCACTTTCCATTCAGGTCTTATACTCAAGTAATCTGCTTTCTGAAACTACATGCTCTCAGAGGTTACCAAACATCTTCGAATTCCAAAGGGCATGTTTTAATCATTATTTTATCATGATGTTGCAGTTCTCTCAGTCTTCAAACTGTTTCCTTCCTTTCTGGGAGTCATGTGCATTTAGTTCTCCCTTCTTTCTAACGATTTCTTCTTAATGTTCTTCTGAATGTGAGCATCCCACTTAAATGTTGGCACTCCTGAGTCTATGGCCCTCCTCAGACCTGAGCCCTCTGATCCTACTATTTTAATTATCAATTTAACCTTAAAGTACACAGCTAAAACTATAATCTCTCTGGGTTCTTCCCAACCTACTCTTCCTCCTAATAGTTACCAGCTCAGCTGAGATTGGCATCAACCCACTCTGCACTCAAATCTGAATGAAACCTTTGAGCTATTCAATATATTATCTCCTTTTATCCTCACATTCAATACATTTTCCAAATCCTGTCTTTTCTTTCTTCCTTTTTCATTTTAGAAAGGAGGTCTTGCCCAGGCTGGAGTACAGTGGCATGATCATAGCTTTCTTCCTTTTTCTTTTTAGAAGTGATCTATTGCCCAGCCTGGAGTACAGTGGCATGATCATAGCTCACTATAGCCTCAAACTCTTAGGCTAAAGCAATCCTCCTGCCTCAGCGTCTTGAGTAGTTGGAACTATAGGTAAAGCAGGTCTAGATAATTTTTAATTAATTAATTACTTTTTGTTTGTCTGTTTGTTTTTTGTGGAAATGGCATCTCATGCTATGGTGTGGTCAGAACTGGCCTTAAGTGATCTTCCCACTTTGGCCTGTAAGTTGCTAGGATTACTGGCATGAGCCATGTCACCAAATCTCTCATTTTCTATGTTTTAATCTAAATAATTTATTGAATCTATCCTCTCTATACTATTTCAAAATTCCTAAATTACTTTTTTTTATTTGAACTTTTTTTTTGAGAAAGAGTCTCACTTTATCATCCCTGGTAGAGTGTCATCGTGTCACAGCTTACAGAAACCTCCAGCTCCTGGGCTTAGGTGATTCTCTTGCCTCAGCCTCCCAAGTAGCTGGGACTGCAGGAGCCCGCCACAACACCCGGCTATTTTTGTTGTTGTTTTTGCAGTTTGGCCGGGGCCAAGTTTGAACCCACCACCCTTGGTATATGGGGCCAGTACCCTACTCACTGAGCCATAGGTGCCGCCCAATCCTAAATGACTTTTCATCATCTGTGGCTTGAATAACCCTTAACTGGCTATCCTGCTTCCCATTGTTTGCTCCACTATCCAGGTACCACGATCATCTTTCATTTTATCCTCCTGTTCATAATCCTTCAAGTATTCTTTATCCTCTAGATTCTAGGGTATGTTTTTCAACTGGTGTGCCATAAGAGGATCTTAGGTATGCCAAAAAAATGTTTAAAGATCATTAATTATTTTCAAAAGAAGTTTAAAGCACAGTAAGTATATATTTTTTTACTCTTTTTTTTTTTTGATCAACGTAATTTAAGTGTGCTGTGGAAGTTTGACTATAGGTTCAAGTGTGCTGTGAGATTAAAAAAAAGTTGAAAAACACTGTCTTAGGGCCTAGAGAATAAGGTCCAGTTCCTTAACATGGCACATGAAGTCCTTAATAATCTGATTCTAATTGCCCTCTCAAGCTAAACACTCCTTCCCCCTCCTCCAAATTCTTAAACTTTTTTCTCAGTAATTCAGAACTACATGTTCTAACATTCCTTTTTTGTGCCTCTGTTCTTTTCACAGGCTGTTGCTCCTATTTTGAAAACCCTTGCCTATTCTGTCTTCAGGTAACAGTTCCCTAATCTGAGTTCCACATCATCCACTCCCATACAGAATATATCACTTTCTCCACTAGCCTATTTCTCTATTTTTTGGCATATCTATATTCTGCATTTATTATAATGTATTTTCATGTTGTGTTTACATGTGTTATCTTCCCTAATTAAACAGGGAGTTCTTGAAGGCAAGGTCTGTATCTCACACATTTTGAACCATACTGCTAATACTTAGCCTGGTGCCTGGCAAATAAATGTTAACAGAATTGCAGAGACTTATGTATATATCTGACTCCCCAAAAAAGTCATAATGTCATGACTTTATGTATCCTCAATAACTACTGAGGAGTAATCAATACAGTTTTGTGTGGAATTAGTGTTTGTTTAAATCCTTAGATTAGGCTCAGCGCCCATAGCTTAGTGAGTAGGGTGCTGGCCACATATACTTAGGCTTGTGGGTTCTAACCCAGCCCAGGCCTGCCAAACAACAATGACAACTGCAATAAAAAAAATAGCCAGGCGTTGTGGTGGGGCACCTGTAGTCCCAGCTACTCGGGAGGCTGAGGCAAGAGAATTGCTTAAGCCCAAGAGTTGGAGGTTGCTGTAAGCTGTGACACCATAGCACTCTACTGAGGGCAACATAATGAGACTCTGTCTCAAAAATAAATAAATAAATCCTTACATTAAGAAAATAGGTTTCTTAAATACATACATATCAAAACTTATTATCTATACTGTTGGTGCCATTGGATAATACAATAATGTTGATACTGTATCACTCACACGGTAATTATGATAGTGCCTCACAAATGCCAAGTGACTGAAAAACATAGCCTCCTATTTCAAAATAAGTGGCAATTATATGTACATTTTGCTGTAGGCCCAGAAACACTTGTTGATTGAAACACTAGGCAGATGTTATGATTTGTTTTGTACCACAGGGTTCAATTCTGTACTTGCCTGACCCAAATTTCATCCATCATCAAAAATTCTACTTGTTGAGAAGTGAAAGTTTAAACAATCAAATTTAAACATGCTTTATCAATCATGCAAAGCAAAGTACTTGATAAGGTATTACCACCACCTTCTGTATACCAAGAAAGCAGAGAAAGATAATGTAGTTAGAGAAAAGTACTCCATACACACTCTGAATCTTACCTTACCTTCATTGGCAGAGTATTTTACCAGTAAAATGCGACTTGAGCTTAAAGTGATGAATACGGCACCTAGCAGGAATGTGTACATTGTTGGCAAGGAGCATAACAGAGGACGACTACAGCACTTTCTTTCCATTCCTGTTTCTTAACTGCCTTAAAAAGAAGAACACTTTCATGAGTAACCCTACTGCCATACCTGAAGATTAAGCATAATGCCACTACCACTGATTGTGAAGAGCAGAAAAGCAATTTTTACATGTTTGGCTAAGACTATATCAGAACCAAATAAGCTGAGTCGTGCATTAGAAAGTATGGGGTAAGGAAACAAAAAAGCCAAAATCTGATAGGAAGGCATACTCCAGAGACAAAAAGGCAGGGCTAGATTATAAGTGCTTATAAGGCAGCAAGTAGGCAATTAACACTTTGGGACTACAGAAAAGAATTCCGCAGAAAAGCAATTCTTTAATTTTATTCTTATTAGTGATTTTGCTATAGAAGAGAATTTCAGAATTGCATTTTTCTCCTTATTACCATCTCTTCCCTCTGAGGAGAAAAGAGAACTTGCTCAGAAAGATTTCATTATAATAATGACCCAAATGGAAATATCTGAAACCCTCCTTTTCATTTTTACTGATCTAATGTCAGAAACAGAAGAGATCTTAGAAACCGATGAGCCTAAGGGCCTCAACCCAGGCTGGAAAAGTAACTTGCCCAAAGCCTCCCTGTCTATCAGTAGGGATGGCGCATTAAGCCTATGTGGACAGGGGAGAAGTGCCAATACTGACAACCCACTGGACGTGAACCTACAGGAGACCAATGAGACACCTCCCTACAGGAGGAGGCCAGGTTTCCATTCACCGCTAGGGAAACCCTCCTCGTCACACATGCGCACAAGAGATCTTGTCTAGCGCGCCCTGCCCTGGTACGCACGCGCAAATCCCCTAACCGCAAGGCGCGGTTACCTTGGTCCCGCAGAGCTTCTTGTGACAGAACGTACATCCTAGAGCTGACACAGTGATTGTCTAGTTCCGTAGTAGCAGCAGGAGCTTTTAGGGTCCATAAGTGGAGAAGCTAAAGGTGGGAAACGAAGGCGAACGACGCTTGCCCCTGAGCCTGGTCGTGCGGAACAAAAAGCACAATTACCTACCGACAGGGAGGGAGCGGACCCGGCGCCCATTGCGCAGCCGCGTCCGGAGTTACGCTTCCGGAGGGAGGGGATACGCGTAGGGGCTGATCCCACCCAAGCGCGGCCTTTCTCGCGTCACGTGCCGGGAGAGTCCGGTGTCACGTGAGGCCTAGGTGGCGGCGGAGCTACGGCAAGATAGTGAGAGAAGGAAGGGGAAGCCGGAAGGGGCGCGAGTGAAGTAAAGGGGAGAAAGACTGCGCCCGAGAGTGCGAGGGGTGCGCGTGCGCCCGTTTCTAACCCCAGCTCTCCCCTCGGCCCTCTACCCTCACTGAGAGCCCGGTGACAGCGAGGCCTGGTACGCTAGCGCGCTGCCCGGGGCGCTCGCGCCTTGCCCCTCCCCCTCGTCCCGTCCGTCCCGTCGTGTCCAGTCCTGCCCCCTCGGGTGCCGCCGACCGGTGCTGATGCGAGTCGGCGGCAGCGGGAACATTTTCTGACTTCCCAGCCCCTGTCCCGGCCGCCTTTCCCACCCCTTCGCGGGGCCGGCTGCTACTCCGGCCCCAGGATGCAGAATGTGATTAACACGGTGAAGGGAAAGGCACTGGAAGTGGCTGAGTACCTGACCCCAGTCCTCAAGGTAAGCCAGGCCGAGTTTGTCAGGGGCTGTCAGACACCTACTCAACTCCGCAGGGACCCCGCGCGGGAGGAGTCTCAAGTCTTTTCCAGCGGGGAAAGGTGTAGGAAGGTGGCAAGGGCAGGACGCAGGTCCTGCCCCCATCCGTAGTCTCACCCGGCTGTTCGGTAGGGCCAACTGGGTTTTCGGGGGTAAACTTGGGGCGACGCTCTGTGCGTGCTCCCCTTTTTCCCGTCATAACTCTGCGCGTCTCGGGAGGTCAAGTTGGAAGAGAGTCGGCAGCCAAGTAAATTTAAGAACGTTAAATGCTAGCATCTTTTAAGCAAGGATTTTGCTTATTTTTTTAAAAATAAATTTAAAATTTTGTATTAAAATGATATATGTCACTTTCAAGTTTTATAGAAATGCTCTTACATGTAGTAAGAGTATTGGAAGTACGAAATGCGTAAGTTGTTACTGAGGTCCACTCGGTTAGATTTTAGAGATAAGAGGTGGAATTTGTAACAACTCATTCTGTAACCTTGAACCTAGCTAACAAGCAGAACCTTTCTTCCCCAAGCTTTTTAAATAGCTGCTCTTAGCACAGTGATAGTAAGGAGCAGCTTCATCCTCTTCAGTAGGTTTTGTTTTGTTTTGTTTTGTTTTTGAGACAGAGCCTCATGCTGTCCCCCTGGGTAGAGTACTATGGCTTCACAGCTCACAGCAACCTCCAACTCCTTGGCTCAAGCGAGTCTCCTGCCTCAGCCTCCCAAGTAGCTGGGACCACAGGCGCCCGCCACAACCCCCGGCTATTTTTTGGTTGCAGCCATTATTGTTGTTTGGCGGGCTGGGGCTGGATTCGAACCCGCTACCTTAGGTGTATGTGGCTGGCGCCTTAGCCACTTGAGCCATAGGCGCCGAGCCTTGAAGCTTGCTTTCAACTAGAATTCTACCAGTCTCAGCATGGGGGTGACAAACCCTGATATACAAGAAGAATAGTGGACAGTTTTACTTTGTTCCCTTTCCAAGGCAAAGGGAAATGTTAGACCTAATTCTAATTTCTCAGACTCCTTTTAAGATGATACCTCGTTGGGCCGAATAAGAACAAAGTCAGGAACAATTGTAAATGAGAATTCCAACTTTTGTTTGCTTATAATTATTTCCTGTGAAAGTTACTAATTAAGATTAGTCAACTTATTTAAAATTTGAAAATAATTTTGATGTTTGAACCAAATGCTTTTATATACTGTTAACCCTTTTAGAATAGCATATCAACTTAGGGTATATACCATTTTAATAATACACAGTCGTCAATGACTTTAGTTTCAGGGAGAGAGAAAAGACTCCCCAAATTAAATATAAAATGGCTATTTTATAGGCCATTTGTATTTTATTGTAGTTATGGCATAGAATTACATTTGGGGGAGTCATTTTACTCGTTCATCAAACTGAGTAAGTGTTAATATCTCAGTGTGTAAGGTATCTGTGTCTAGGAAAAAGGAAAGCAGAAATAATGGCCCTTTCCTTGTCACTTTTGGGCAAACTATTGGTTTGCAGAGAAAATCCTTATAGTTCCCTGCTATGTGAGGAAAGGGAAGTAGAGAAAGCAAATTCCCCGGGAAAGAAATAGTGTCCTTCTCTTAGCAAGCAAAAATTAAGAAAAAATCATGTTTTGTCTGAAGGACATACATGCAGTAAAAACTGAAGTCCATACAATCATGTTTAAGGCTCTTTTTCTCTGTACCATGAGCTCTCTTGCTTAAGCTAATCTGACCTCCTCTTCATTAAGCACACTCATGCATCCAGGGTTTTGCGTGTGCTCTTCCCTCTTTCTGCTGGAATGCTCTTCTTCCTAAAGTCTGACTGCCTGTTCCTTTCCTTAGTTTTCAAGTCTGTGACGTCTTTGTTCTCTTATCATTCTGTTTTAAATAACTATTACCCCCACCCCTCCTTCCCACAGTTTCCTCTGTGCTTCATTTTTCTTTGGTCTGTTTTATTCACACCTGTATCCCCATTGCCTCAAATAGTGCCAGGTGCATGTAGTTAAAGAAATAGGTGTTGAATGATTAATGTTTATAAATCGATTTCATTTTTGTAGACTCTATCACACAATCTTTCATATAACTTAAAGTTTAGAAAAAATTAGTTAATAACTTCATTGCTTTAGAGGAGAGAATATTGTATCAGTATCTTGGTAGAGATGAGAATAATGATTTCTAGATTTCATTGCTAGTATTTATTTACTCAGTTTAAATAAGACATTGGCTGAATTGTAAGATGGCTAAGAATCTGTGGCTCAGTGAGTAGGGTGCTAGCCCCATATACCAAGGGTGGAGGGTTCAAACTCTGCCCCAGCCAAACTGCAACAAAAAATAGCTGGGCATTGTGGTGGACTCCTGTAGTCCCAGATGCTCGGGAGGCTGAGGTAGGAGAATCACCTAAGCCCAGGAGTTGGAGGTTGCTGTGAGCTGTGACTCCACAGCATTCTACCAAGGGCAATAAAGTGAGACTCCATCTCAAAAAAAAAAAAAAAAGAATCTTTAAGATATTTTTATTGTACTGTAAAATAAAGCTATCTGGTCACAGAATCACTGTAAAGCTTCATTTTTATTTAAATCTTCGAATATTTTTCCATGGATCATTATTCTGTTATATAGCACTAATTAAATACTATTGTAATAATTTTCATGCCTGTTTCCTACATTAGATTTGTATATTTCTGTGGTCAGGTACCCAGGATATATATGTATTTTGTATGTGTTCCATGTGTTGAATTTTTCCTAAAACATTTAAGTGAAAGATAGTGTAATACTGTTACTCTGTTTGTTCTCTTTAGGAATCTAAGTTTAAGGAAACAGGTGTAATTACCCCAGAAGAGGTGAGTGTTGAAGACATTCTGAAGGCTTTATATTTTACAATTATGTTAAACTAGGTGGGCTTTTCTGCTTTATAAGAAAACATCTTCAAGTTTAATTTTGATTTTAGTGAAATTAAATGTTGTTGACTATGTTAGTGATTTATTGAGACTTCTACTTCCCATAGAGGAAAAGATGTAACTTCTGTCTGAATTTGCCACTTCTCGTATTTCTCTTTAGTTCCTTATTAGTTAGAAATGAGGATGGAGAAGGAATGGAAAAGAGTCCTATAGTCACTTATCTTTCACCGATGTTTGTGTTATGCTGAACTGCACAGTGAGCTCTTTGGTGTTTGCTGCCTTGGCTCCATGTATACCAGATGTAAGTTTTTATGGCTTGCCATTGGGAAACTTTGCTCACTGCTTTGATATTATTTTCTCTTAATGTTCAGCATAAATATTTTATTACTACATACTTGACATGGATTTTTTCAACCATTATTTCACTTGTTCTACCAACCAAGTAATGTTGAAAGTGCTTAATGCTGCAACTAACAGCCATTAGGCCAGTTGTATTTTACTGAATTTTTCACATAAAATTGTATTTTGAGGAATCATTTTACTTGTCCATCAAATTTGTATACTTCTTTTTTGTTTAGGTAGTTTATTTTATTGTCCCTAGAGAAGTAAATACTAGACTAAAACATTTTTACATTTTTGACTCAAGTTTTATGAATAGTTCTGGGTATATCAGACTTTTTATTTTTGCAGTTTTTGGCCAGGGATGGATTTGAACCCACCACCTCCAACATATGGGGCCAGCACCCTACTCCTTTGAGCCACAGGCGCTGCCCCCACCTTTGTTTTTTTTAAGACTCTTCATTTTGTGTAGGTTGGAGTACAAGTGGCATCATTGCTCACTCAGCCTCAAGCCCCTGGGCTCAAGAGATTTTCCTACTTTAGCCTCCTGAGTAACTGGGACTATAGATGTGCATGCCATTGTGTCTGGCTAATTTTTCTATTTTTATTAAAGATAAGGTCTTGCTCTTGCTCAGGCTGGTCTTGAACCTCCATCTATCCTCCTGTCTCCCAGAATGCTAGTATAACAGGCATGAGATGTAATTTGGTGTTTTGTTCTTAATAAAAGACTATTTAAGTTGGATCTTTTAACTCTCATTGAAAATACCACTCATTGGCAACAGAACTCTATTAATTGTTTTGAAAGAAACATTTTGAAATAAGCCATGTTGTGTGATGACACTGTTGTTGTAAAGTCTAAGGCCGCTAGCCAGAGAATTAACTGATCTTTTCATTTTCAATTGTGATAGAATCTCTATGTTCAGAATTCTTATGGGTTTTAAGAGTGGTTTGCTAAACTGATCTTTTGTCTACATTTGTCTTTATTTTTAGTAAAGATAATGTGGTGATACTGAAATAACCTAGGAGACTGGCTTTCTAGACCCATTTTTCTAATTTCTCTTAACCTGAGCAAATCAGTTAAGCTATCCAGGCCAGGCCTCGTGTTTCTTCATCATAAAATGAAAGGTTTGGGTTAGATGTTTTCTGAAGGTCCTATTCTAACTTAGATTTCATTAATTTAATACGTCAAATGCCAAATAAAACCAAGTTTTGATGTGAGTATATCATTAACATTCTTGCCAAACAAAGGCATAATTTAGACATGGCTCTTTAAGCATCTGAAATCAAGAGTAGAGATGAAAAGTATGCTGTTCTCCTGGTCTCTCTTATTTTATCTCCTCTGTGTGAAGATGAATTATTGAGTAGATAGCTGGAGTTAGAGGTACAAGTTGGTGGTCACTGGATAGAATTAAGCTGTTTAAAACTGGAGTTCATTCTAGTATAAATAATTATTACACTTAATTACATTGTAAAATAATTTACGAATTATCCCCTTTTTAAAAAAATCCAAGGCAAAACTAACGCCGCTGGATACCAAGAATATAATGTTGGCTTGGGAAAGAGCACAGGTACAGAAATAAGTTAGACTAGAAAGACCCTGGAGGAGGAAAATGGGAAGGCATCATTACTTTAGGTAAATAATGTATACTGAGTTGATTTGTTTCCTCTTACTGTTTTTGGATTTCTGCCTGTCAAGACTCCAGCTATCTTTTTGTTTTCATTTAGAGGTGTGGAAATACTGTGTTTAAAAAAGGAGCAGCTAGTGTCTAATAGTCTGTCATCTGAAAAGAACACTTCAGTGTTGGATATGTGTATGGCTTGATGAAGTAGAATACTATTAATAGAGAGGGTAGCTTGATGAATAGAGTTGTTCTCCAAGATACATGGATACTGTCTTGCTGGAATGAGTCAGAATTGTTTGTTGATGATACCACAAGAAAGTATTTAATCACTATGAGTGTTTAAGTATTTAAAAGAATTTATTCATTTAATTTAATGGTACTGCAGGCAGTCTTGACCATTTACAAATTTTGTCTATAGCTTCCTTTTATTTCATTTGCACGTATGAAGCAGGTAGTAGCTATCATTGCCTACAGGGGCAGATGTACACATATACTAATTATTGGTGCAATTCTACATGTTTTATAATGTTCCTTAATGTCTAGTGTTTTGTTTTTTTAAAATAGATACTGCTAGAGGGACAAAATATTACAGTATTGTTACTTCAAGGTAGCATGGTTAAAGAATTTTTATTTTTAAATCTTTGTTTTCCTTGCATTTTGTTAAATGATTACTTTTAGTGGTAATAAGTTCTGATAACTACAGAGCTATGTAACATTTGGTTGCAGTGACCCCAAAAGGTTTAAAACTTGAGAAAGAAACTATTGTCTTCATTTCGGTTTTTGCTCTTACTTAACCAGTTTAAATAATAGATTATTTGAGATAAAAGAACAAAAACATTTATAAAGTTCTTTTGGAGATACGGCTTGTTATGTCTTGTTAATAATTCCTGCTAAAAGAGGGTTATTTTCAGGATTCTTATTTGATAGAATTTTACTCTCAAAATAGTGTATTTTATGTAGGCATACTTTCTCAGAAAAATAGTAGATTAAATATATTGTAATTTTTTGCTGGGTAATAAACTCATGAACAATACAAGATTTTAAGTTAGAGCTATTGTGAAATAGAAGTAATTGAGAAAATATGTGCACATACTGCTTGACTTGGGACACTACAGTTATGCTTAACAGACTTCTCTGGGATTTCTGTCCTTTGGTTCATGTCCTTGTAAATTAAACTCTTTCTTTCCGAGTTCAGTTTTTAATTCTGAAGAAAACCAAAAACTTGCACAGTTTAGCTTGCGCAGAAAGTCCAGAGTTTGTTTACACAAACAAAAAGCTTCTAACCTTAATTTTTAAAAATAATAAAAAGAAGAAAAAGAAATGTGCACTGTGATATAATAAAATAGGACTTTTATCTATTTAGTAAATTTTTCAGATTTTTACTGTATTAGCAGAACCTTAGTACATTTTATTCTTTTTTTTGAGACAGAGCCTCAAGCTATCCCCCTGGGTAGAGTGCTGTGGCATCACAGCTCACAGCAACCTCCAACTCCTGGGCTCAAGCGAGTCTTCTGCCTCACCCTCCCAAGTAGCTGGGACCATAGGCGCCCACCACAACACCCGGCTATTTTTTGGTTGCAGCCATCATTGTTGTTTGGCGGGCCTGGGCTGGATTCTAACCCGCCACCTTAGGTGTCTGTGGCTGGCACCTTAGCTACTTGAGCCACAGGTACCTAGCCATTTTATTTATTCTTAAAATGGATTTTGACATTTTAATCTTATAGTCTTAACCTTTATTAGTTACATGATATTGTATGCTTTTTGCATATTTATTTATTTGCTGAGAGTCTCCCCACTTTGTTGCCCTTGGTAGAGTGCAATGGTGTCATAGCTCACAGCTACCTCAAACTTTTGGGCTCAAGTGATTCTCTTTATTCAACCTCCTGAGTAGTTGGGACTATAGGCACCTGCCACAGCACCCAGCTATTTTTAGAGATGGGGTCTTGTTCTTGCTCCGGCTGGTCTGGAACCCTTGAGCTCAGGCAGTCCACCCACCTCGGCCTCCCGAAGTGCTAGGATTATAGGGGTCAGCCACTGCACCCAGCCCTTTTTACATTTTTAAATCCAATGATAACCATTGAATTTTTTTAAATTACTGAGTGTATTTTTCTTCCAAGATTGATTTAAATGGCTCGGCGCCTGTGGCTCAAGCGGCTAAGGCGCCAGCCACATACACCTAAGGTAGTGGGTTCGAATCCCCAGCCTGGGCCCGCCAAACAACAATGATGGCTGCAACCAAAAAATGGCCAGGCACTGTTGCGGGCGCCTGTAGTCCCAGCTACTTGGGAGACTGAGGCAGGAGACTCGCTTGAGCCCAGGAGTTGCAGGTTGCTGTGAGCATGATGCCATGGCACTCTACCCAGGGGGATAGCTTGAGGCTCCGTCTCAAAAAAAAAAAAAAAAAAAAAAAAAAAGATTGATTTAAGTTTTTATGGATGTGAAATATTTTTGGAGATTAATAATGATGAAAATAAATTTTAAGGCT